AAAGCCTTGCCAAGAGCGAAACATAGCATTTGACCCTATTTCCCTTCCAGTCCTGGCCAGATTAGCTTAACAAACAAAAACAACAACAACAAAACCACAGACCCCTGAATTGGGAAGAGTATATGCAGCATAACCCTGAAGAAGATTGGGGTGGGGGCCAAGACCGGGAAAGGTTTGATGGGAGTGGGGGGAAAAGAGAGCATCAGGGTTGACTAAGCACCATTTTGGGAGACAAGGCAGGAGGCCTGGGCTAGGGGCAGGAAAGCTATTATCACAGCAGTCTGCAAGGGTTGCCTGCTGCCTCGTATGCATCATTCAGCAAAGGACACCAGCTTTCCTCTGTACTGCCTGGTGGAGAGCCTAGGACGCCTCTGTCAGAGACACAGGGCGAAATCTTAGACCACCTGGTGGGGTAGTATCTCCCTCCCTCCGTTCCTCTCCTCCCTCCTCCCCTTAGGGATCTTAGTCTGCAAGGCCTAAGAGTCTATTTTTAATAAGTACCTCGGGTAGCTCTTATGCAGGTGGCCTGTGGCACGGGCATACCATTTCTCAGAGAAACTCTTTGATAAGAAGAATCACCAGAGGCACTTGTTAAAAATCCCAATTTCTGGGCTCCATACCAGACATGTGGAATCAGAATCTCCAGGGAAGGGGCCTGAGAATTTGTTTTTTTAACCAAGGTCCAGGTGATTCATAGGGAATTCTGGGAAACATCTTTAAAGACTTCTACGTTTTATTTTGTTTTCTGTAGTATATTTAAAAACAAAACATTTATTTATAATAAGGAAGTGGTATTTTTTTTTTTTTGCATTGTGAAAAAAAATAAGTACCTTATGGAGAGAGATTACAATCTCTAATTTTTTTTTTCCCTCTCTTCCTTTAGCCCAGACTTCTCAGTGCTGCAGGATAATAGATCTATTTACACGACAGCTCTCCTTGAAATCACAAAAACGTCTTAAACTCAACATGTTCAAACTGAAATCACCATCTACCCCCCAAACCCAACTGCCTTCCAATGTTCACCATATCTCACTGGGGATCGTTACTATCCACCCACTGGGCCTACCAGAGATCCCATCATGTCAGACTCCTTCCTTTCTTTCAATCCCCAGTCCACCCCACCGTATATACATCCATCACCAAAGTCTCCCATTTTACTTCCTAAATTGTTCCATTTTCCCCGTCTGTCTCCATCTCCTTGTTTCCATCCCAATCCGGTTGTACCACCACCAACAGTAACTACCACCCGTGGATCCTAATTGTCCATATCCCCACATTGCAGCTGGAATGATCTTTTTCAAAATACAGACCTGATCAGGTTAAATCCCCTCTCTGCTTCTCAAGAAAAGGATGAAGGTTCTCAGTATGGCCAACAAGGTCCTGCTTAGTCTGGTCTCCAGTTTCATACTGTAGCACTCTCTTCCTGCAATCTATGTGCTAGCCACATTGATCTGTCCCTCAGGCTTGCAATGTTTCCCCTCTGACAAAGGTTTTTACGCATGATGTTCCTTGTTTTCTTTTCTCCTTTTCTCAGTATCTCATCCTTCAGATCTCCACTCCAGTGTGACTTCCTCAAGGCAGCCTTCCCTAACCTTTCTGACCAGTTCAATGAGTGACTCTATCGTAAGCCCTCCTGGTACTCATCCCTTGCAACTTTCATTTAGTTCTTGAATGAAATGTGGTTTACTTATTTGTTGAATTAGGCCTTTTAGCATTCTTTTGCCTAGAGTAGTTTGTTTCCTTGCTCATCTTCTCTAGTGTTTTTTTGATTTCACTTCCTTAGACTCTATTACTAGACTCTATTCACTACCTAGACTCTAGGACTATTTTAGGATTAGTAAGGAATAATTCTTTAATATTTGGACTTCGCTAAAGCACCACCTTCATTGGCTTTCCTGTTTCCCCTCTGGCTGCTGTTGCTTTATCATTTTCCAACTCTTGAACATTTGTCATGATCATAGCACTTATTTACCCTATATTGTATTTTTTTGCTTATTTTTGTGAAGGTTTCTCTCGCTAGTATCAATTGCTTCAGGGCAGCTATTTTATTTCTGTATCCTTACACATGGTCTTGTCCCTAATAAATATTTGGCGTGACCCTGATATAGTGCATGTTGATTTCTCTGCTTCTAGTATCTTCCCTTGCTGTGCCTGACAAACCTTCATCACATAATATAAAGGAGGCAGTGGTATAATGCTAGCTTCAACGGTATATTTCTATTCAATTTCCTCATTTGAAAATGATATTTACCTTACAAAGTTGTTCAATTAAAAGAGTTAAGGATTCAATACATCCCTCCCTCCCCTTGCCAGGTCAAGCCTCTCCTCTTCTAGGGCAATTACCTATGGAATTTTGTCTCAGGATTAGATTTGGGATCTCTGGCAACCATCTAGTTCTGGTCTCCCCTCCCCCTTTACAACAGACTTTGATGGCCCAATTAAAACTAGAGAACAAACCATTAGCAAGTGGAGAACATTTCTTCCCTGTTATCTTAGGAAAATATATTCCTGAGGTGAGGAGATATATTTGTGTAACTGCATAGGCCTTCAAAAAATATACTTTGAAATAGCATAGGATGAAAATCGAAATGGTTTAATTTCCATATCAAAATAAATGAAATGTTTCATTTTCTTCTAGGTTTGTAAAGTGCCTGACCCATAGTACACAAGAAGTAAACTTGGGTTCCCTTCCCTTCATCCTTTCAAGCTTAATAAGCTGTAAGTTAGGACAAGCGATTCCACAGTGAATTATCTGGTAGCTTCCAGTGTAAGATTTTATTCTTACCAACTAGATCCTATGTTCAGTTTGTTACTTTACCTTATTTGTTTGCATTGTCAAAGTTTAAATATAGCACAAACAATTAGTCTTTAAAAATCACGGAAACATTATTATTATTATTATTTACGGAAACATTATTTAATATAATTTATTGTCAAATTGGCTTCCTTACAACACCCACTGCTCATCCCAACAAGTGCCCTCCTCAATG